AATATATTATAAATGTTATATATTGTATAATATATTATTATATTATATATATTCTATATATAATTATATATATAGAATATATATATACTTTACATACAAGCATAGCCACGCTCCCTCACACCCTTGCAAACTCTAGTCCAGGAAAGAAAACAAGTGTTCGGCAGTAAACACGGGGTGGAAGCAATCAAGCAAAGTAGGTACTACATTTCTCACGGCTTAGAAAACCATAAATCAACACTGCATGTGTTTTAAAAAAATGGTATACTCTGATTGAAATGCAAGCTATTTATTTTAAACAGGACATAGGGTGAAACTATGTTTGATGGTGTATGGCAGAAAGATCAGGGTGATCAATGGTGCTTTACGGTTTGAGGGAAGAAAAGGCAGAAGAAAACTCCGCATCACAGCCACAAATTGTACTATATTCACAAAGGCCGTGCCTAACTTCCTGTCTTTAAAGCACAACCAAGGGAGACTTTTGCCTAGGACATCTGTACGAACACACTCCCCATGTAGGATTTTATTGTCTTGTTTCAATTTTTTTTTTTTTTTTAATGACCCAAAAGTTTATAAAAGCTAGTATTTTAAGCAGTGTTGAGTGCATGGTTTATGGAGAGATACAGAATTGTTAGCTGCTCCCCTCTACATATACACCAAGTGGCTGAGCCTCTGATCTGTATTACACCCCCCACATATACATCCTTATAGACAAGGAGAATCACAACAAAAAAAATCTTCCTAAAACCCATTTGCTCCATGGAGTATTGTACACACAGTAACAGTCTATAAGGTACTAGAAATGTTTTTTAAGAAGTAAAATATTGGCACAAATATCACGGGCATAGACTGAATCCACTCCTACTGTTACATGTACCAAAAGTGAAGAGGTTTTAGCAATAGCTCCAATTCTCCCAACATTCGTCCTACTTTCAGCTCCTGGTTTCTATTACTGATGTTCTGTTTCTGACCCCTGTCTAGTCTTATGCCTAGGAAGTAACAGAGATGGGAGGCCAACAAGGGAATATAGTTCTCACCTGTCAATTACACAGCATACAAAAATTCCATATGAAAACGTTAAAATCAGCATTCACACTGTAATGTGCAAACATCCAGTTTACAACAGTTGCGAAGCCTTTGCACTTGGCATTTGTGAACTTCTAAATCTGTCCATATGATTTTTTTTCTTTGCTTTCTTTAACAGTTTTAAATGAGACCATACTGAAGTAAAATGGATTATTAGCCTGTTGATTTCCAAAAATGAGAAGCAGAGGTTCTTCAACTCTGAAGGTAAACTAATATTTTCTTCAAGTGGAGGCAGGATATACTCTGTTGTGAACTTCATCCTTTTGGGGTTTTTTTTAATGTCCTGCAACTTGAAAACAATATAGCCCTTTAAAACTGTCACTTAATCTCTCATCCCACACAGTGTATTCCCAGCAAACAAAAGCCCTCTTTAGATCAAAGCACTTCCAATTCTACAGCTGTTAATGGTCATTTTCATATCATATGCTTTAGAAGAAAATGCAATCATTACCCTCAAAAAATGAAGGGCTATCTATAGTTTGGTAAAGAAAATGAATAATAATGTTTACCTCCCCAATATCAAAATAAGCAATTCCAGAAAACTGTAAACTACTATCACCTGCCAGATTTCCCTCTTGGTTCTCAGAGTTCAGAACTGGTTTTAGACTAGTTGTGGTTACCTGTTGATAAAAACCATCCTGATAACAAAAATGCTACACTCAGAAAGACAGTCATTGATAACTGTGATGCACTATTACTTCAAAAATACATGGACTACTACAACATTGAACAGTATGCACTGAACTATAAGATATCAAATTCTTACATTTTTGCCTTTTAGTCTTAACATCTCCTAAGTTCAGTTCTTTTTCTCAAGACTTCTTCATCTGTCTGTAGTATTTTTGACACAGTTTCCAGAGCAGATCTCTCTCCCTTACCCCTCTTTTTATAGGATCATTTATATGTCTAGGTTTTTATACCAGATTCATTCAGCAGCTGATAAATACAAAAAAATACTTAATACACTTGGGATGTTCTGGAAAGAACTGGTCTGGCACAGCATTGTATTCTAGTCTGGTTTTGCTTGCAGTAAAGCATTATGCAGAAGTCTCATTTCAGATTCAGGTGGTTCTGTTCCACGCAGTGCATGCCAACGTGGCAGGATTCGAGTATTTTGTTTTTATAGGCCCAACCTTATACACACTGTAGCAAGCACCCACTTTTACCAATTGTAATTGTATATATTGTTGACTTCAAGATATAACAAACACTGCTAAGGAAGCTTCGGTTTTAGGATATAAGAAGGTAACAGAATTTTTTCTCAGACCTCAAAACATCTCTCTTCAAAAGCCTATTCTCCTGCAGACACAGAATTCCTGTCCTATAGGCATACTTTAAAAGAAAGTAAAGGAATGGGATAGTACCAGAATGTAAAGATTGATTCTCTTACTATTAAAATGGTTTTAAGGTATTTTGCCTGTCCCATGAACCGTAACATCAGAGATAAATATCCTGCCTCTTTTCTCTGCTATTGCCGTATTTCTCAAGTGACTGCATGTCAACCAGAAAACACACATAAAAAACAGATGGCATATTACAGAAATCTTGTAGCATCTTCACCAGATCTATTACAGAAGACAGCAAATTAATTGTATGAAGAGCACGTACACTATTTGCATATCTGCACACAAATTTCTCTGACGTATTTACAGAATAAAAAGAACTACTAGTCTGCATGCAAACTGCAAATGTTTACAACTGCTAAGAAAATATGTTGGCTGTGACTAGCAAAAATAATGCAGGTTGGTTTCCTAAGAACTTGTGATCTTTGTTCCCTAAATACCATTCGCTAACACCA